TGAATGTGCTCTGTTCCGTTGCGAAGCACTTAGGAAGCGGTTAGTGCACTCAAAAAGTGGGGAGAAGCACTCGACTACGTCTTCCTACACTTCTTTCGTGCTCTGGCCGCTTCCTGAGTGCTTTACAACAAAACAGGGCGCAGTCAAGGATTATCTATTTGTTAATTACCATTTTTTTGAAGACCGCCCTGTCTGTTCATATTGCACTATGAGATCTTTCTTTCGCTTTCCAAAGCTTGTAAAAACGTCCAAATTCTTTCTATATTCCTTCTATTCGGGTATTTTAAAAACAGAGCTTTTCTCAATCAAAGTCTGGATGTTGTAACTATGGTAATCACTCTGTCATTGTATTTTCTTGAATGATATCACAAGGTAAAGTTTGTTTTTATAGCATTGACCAGTCAAACCTTTTATTTTGTTTTAGCTTGCCATTTACATTTCTATTAACTAATCTCTTCTTTTTTTAGGAAAGTTTTATACAAACTTTTCTTAAGGAAAATGTTAAAGCACTGTGCAACATTAAAAACAGTACTTGAAATACTCTTACCTCGTGCTGTTATCACTTTTAATTGAAATTAATCTTTACTTTGCTTGAAACCGTTAGTAAAAGAGTCACAGATACAGCCACCATTCAAACCTTTTTCGGAGTTAACTGAACATAGGAGAGTTTTCGTTTTAGTTTTATAACCTACTAATAAATCCAGGCTTTATATAGATTGGAGGTCTAAAAGAGCTCGGTATACTCAAGTACAAAGGACCAGGGAAACGGAGAGACGGTAGAGGAAACGAAAAATTCGGCTCTAAGATGTGTAGGTCGGAAAGAAAACAACCGATAGAGGTAGTAAGGAGTCGTCACCCCGCTAAACCTCCTCCTCGAGAGTTATGGCTAACATGACATCTCACTTCGATTCATCGTGAGAAACCGTGCAAACCTGACAACCAGTCTGAGTTTGCGGTGCCGAAATGTATGTTCATTAATATCTGCAGTCTCTCCAAAATGAAGAACAAGTTGCGGGCGTATGTTGTGCTGGAGGCAGATTTGAAAAACCATGATGTTGATGTGTGCATTGTTACTGAGACCCATTTAAAGCTAGATCAGCCCGATGCCGTGGTAAATATTGCGGATTTTAATATATATATAGGAGGGATAGGAATTGGTCAGGACTTGATATGAGGAACAAGGGCGGCGTGGCTGTTTACGTCAAGAAAAATCTATCTGTTGTGGATATTTATCTCTCCAGGCTTTATGAAGTAATTTGCATAACTCTCTGCCCCCCCTACGGGGTATAGATTTCTTGTGTGCGGAATTTATCACCCGCCTAAACATAGTTATGTAGAGAACGATATAATGAACTATCTTATTGGCTACACGGATAATGTACTTGAGGCCCACCCACAAACCATCATTGCTCTGGGCGGAGATTTCAATCAGTTGGACATGGATGGATTACAACCTTTGTCTGGCTGGAATGTACTGGTTGATTTCCCGACGCGTGGCGATTCACACTTGGATAATTGTTTAACAGACCGGCCCGATTCGTTTGCAAGGTGTTACCCTTTTTACGTGTCACCAAAATCGGATCATTGAGGTGTGATTTTGCCCGCAGGATCTAAACTTCACCCTGTACGTCGTAAAGTTAACATCCGGGACAGACGTCTACATAGGAAACAGGATTTGTACATGGCTTTGGTAGGAGAGGACTGGGGAGAGGTAATTGATACCGAGAATGTAAACGAGGCTGTGAACAAACTGGAGACAACGATACGGGGTCACTTGGATAGGTGTATGCCAGTAAGGGTGGTCACTATGTCATCACGTGACCCTGCCTGGGTGATCCCTCTTGTTAAAGCCATTTTGAGGTCGAAATCGAGGGTGTCCGATGAAGCTAGGCTGAAAGAGTTGAATAAGAGGATTTTGGAAGTGATTAGTGAGAACACAAAGCGGTAAAAACTGGAGCACTATGTCTAATCTGAAGAAAACGGCAACCGGCCCGGACGAAATTCCTTTTTGGTTTTCAAAAGAACAAGCGGAACTACTAACCCCGGTTATCTCTTATGTGTGGAATCTTTCCCTTCAATTCATTCCTCGCCTGAATCTAGGAAAAGAGCGAACATCAGTCCATTACCTAGGGTTGACGTACCTAAGGAGAATGGTGATTTCCGGGGAATCAGTGTAACACCGGTGATTGCTAGAGCTCTTGAAAGGGCTGTATATCATGCATATGCAGGATAAGAAATTATTTAGTGGATCTAGGGCCCTAAGCCATCAGCCCTTAAATGAAATTCTGCTGAAGCCCTGGGGTTTACCCCAGCGATATAATTTACGTCGCAAGGTTTGCCTCCACCTAAAGATTAACACAGAACGTTCCATGAACACAAACTGTTATAATTATATAATTTAATTTTGGCCATAGTATATTATTGTAATTATCATTACACAGTTTCTCGTTTATGTAACATAGAATATGTATTTTTTTATCTCATGGTTTATTAAAGACTT